AAATGAACAGCTGATAAGCAGAAGCTTGGCATGGGTGTCCGTAACAGTGCTGCCAACGTGACACAAACAACAGAATTCTAAACCGATAAGCCCGCGAGGTTTAAATTAAAAATTCCGGTTATTTTTTGATCATGGTAGTATGTGATGCAAAATTAGCATCCTATGATTTAAAGAATTGTAATTTCAATTAAAAAAACTCACGTGGAAAAAATTACACGTTAACACTCATATATACAGGGTGTCTGACAACATACTATAAAGCCGAAATGTGTAAGTAAATCGGGTCATTCTGAATAGAAAAGTTATATACCATTTTGCAAAATTCGCAATATTTATTGAGATATGAATTACTAAATGAGCCAATGAAGGCGCGGGGAACGATGATCGGACTCTATAGGCGTGCACGATTATCAGATGAAAAGAAAAATGGCTTTTCTCATGTAATGTCTTAGTAACGAGAGGCGGAGTAAACAAACAAGCACGGCACGACTCAGTTTCTTGCGATCGGGCGCTATTTGGCGGTACGCAGCGAGCAGCGGCAAGCGAGGAGTACAGCTGATAATTGTTCACGCCTCTAGAGTCCAATCATCGCTCCCCGAGCTCTCATTGGCTCACATTTATTAATTCATATTTCAATAACTATTGCGATTTTTCCAAAATGGTAAATAACTTTTCTGTTCAGAATAACTCGATCTACCTACACACGTCGGCTTTATAGTTTGTTGTCAGACACCCTGTATATATACAGGGTGTCCCAGAATTGCCGTACAATCGCTTGTAGGCAGGTAGAAGGAAGAAAACTGAGTCGAAAAGTCCTGAACCATTTTTTTCTATTATTTATAATAAAGGAGTAATTATTGAGTAAATCAGGCCAATCAGCGCAGACCTTTAGCCAGACGCACGTCAGTGAGCCGCGCGCTTGGTGTGTGTGAGCGCTCACTGACATGTGCCTGATTAAAGGTCTGCGCTGATTGGCCTGATTTTCTCAATAATTACTCCTTTATTAGAAATAATAGAAAAAAATGGTTCAGGACTTTTCGACTCAGTTTTACTCCTACCTGCCTACGAGAGATTGTACGGCNATTCTGGGACACCCTGTATATATATATACACATTTCCGCACAACACCTTGCAAACGGCTCTTAATGACTCTATTCATATATTTATTATTTTAGAAACTTTAGAGCCCAAGAGTATTCTCTATTAATTATTAATGTTGATAGCTATATACCAATGTTAGTAATAATTCTTTGTGAAACTGTTTGTAATGATAAACATACAGTATCAGAGTATGTTTCATGAAAATTAAAAGTTTTTGCCATTTTATTGGCTCTTTCTTTTATGAGATTTTTTGTAGAGAAACTTTTTTTGCGAGCTAAAAGTAACAACGGCATAAGAAGCTGTCAAAGATTGTTGTGATGAAACAATATTTTTGTAAATGTGTTTTTGTAATGTATTTGCATGTTTAAGTTTTAATTCTTGTAATAATTTTGATTTTGTATTATTGTAATTTTCGGAATTTTTTCATGACAAAGATTATACTGTCTTTTTACATGAAATGTTTTCGCGCGTGATAAAATTCTAAAACACATTAGACACTGCGATTTACCATCCTTGTTGACAGTAAAACAATAATCATTTTTCCATTTTTGTAAATTTTTTAATCTTTGCGCCAGTTTTAAACCAAAGTACAATATATTATTGATCTTTGCTTTATTTTTTTAATTTTATTTTGAAGTTTAATATAAATTTTATTAAAAGAAAAAAAATTACATATGTCTTTGATTTTGTTTCTGTGTCCCTCTCAGGCGGATACGTACGTGGTTATAATATTAGCGCGTCTTTCTTTTAACCTACCCTATCTTTTACATCTTCCATCTCCATCTGATAGTAATAGAAACACGTGACAACAGAACGCCGCCGCCGCCGCCGCCGTATTGTCTTGAGTGGGGGAAAGATTCAGTTATGTGGAAGGGCAAGCGCGAGCGGATGAGAGGCAGAGGGATTTCGTGGTGAAAAACGCATGCTGTGCGCGAGTTGGAAGGCTCTGATATACATAAAGTAGATTATTCTAAGATTTTTGAGTTTTTTTAATGAGACTAATATCTTTGAAATAAAACAATAAAAATTATATTTTTGATCTAAAAAAGATAAATAAAGAAAATTATTTAATATTAATCCTTCAGTGCTAGACATAAAAAATGATTTACAAGTTGTCCAAACTGTGAGACCCACGCAACTTTAAGATAGAATATCTCCGCAAAAACTTAATATTTTTTTTCAATTTCTTATTTTGGAATCGACAGTTTGAACGATCTGTGTTGATAAAAAAAACAGATCTAAAAAATCTTTAGTAATTTCGAAGAGCGTTTAAACAACCTGATAATTGCTTTTTAAAAAAAGCTTTTTACAACTTTATTATTTTTTTTTTAATTAAGAGTTTTACAAATTTTTGATATTCTTTTGTAAGAAATTGTTCAAACTTTCAAGGACAAAAATATCTTCTAAAATTTATAAAATTAAAACCATTTTTACAACAGATCTTTTATGACGTTTTTTGAAGAATGCATTTTTCTAGCGCCCAAATTTAACGTGCAATATTTTAGCAATAAATAAATATTTAGACATATTCTTTTTTAATAGAAAGCTTATGGAATTCTGTATTCTGTGATAAAAAGAAACAAATTGAAAAAATCTTTCGTAGTTTTAAAGAAACGTTTCAAACGTTTTTGCGCACCATAATCTAATAAATCGTTATAAATGTACATATATTTTGATACAATTACGAAAAACATCAATTATTTAATATATAAAAGTGCTAAAATTAAAAAAATGATTCATTTTTCGAAATGCCAACATCTTGTTCAGACATGAATCTCTCAGACTTTTTTGCATTTCAAAATTCAAACTTCGCAAAGCTATTAAACAAATAATGCTGTCAACGATCTTTGCTATTGACTAAGGCCCTAAAGTTTTTTTTCATGGCCATTAAATGTCGCGCTAAACTAATATCCAGCAAACAATTTCTGGTGAATGTTCAGAAAAACGGAGCACCCTCGGAGATCAATGACCTTAACATATGTTGTCAAGGACAACAATCCGTCCTGAACAACAATCTGCAACTTTTAGCAGTCGCTCGTTGTTCGTTAAAAAATTATAAACAAAAGAATTTGCGTCAATAAACTGTTATTTTCCGGCACCGTGTATATTTTGTTTGTGTTGTAAGCGTGTAGGCAGGGGAGACTGCGCTCCCCCGCGGCGGGAGAGGCTTCGCTCCTCCTCCCTGCTCCCCCCACCCCTCACAAAAAAATGAAGAATTCAACATTAAGTGTCGCTTTATGTCAAGATTGTTTACTTAATATGAAGTGGAATATTACTTCGCATATCTCGCCAAATTCTTTCGATGTTTTGCGTGTGACAATTAGTATGAGGAACTACAAAAATTTTTTTTTGTGATTTACTGATGAGTGTAACCGTGCATATTGATTGAGTAAACAAGTATGACATGAAACGACACTTGATTGAATTCTTCATTTTTTCTCGAGGGGGGAGCAGGAGGAAGAAGCGAAGCCCCTCCCCCTGCCTACACGCTTACAACACGAATAAAACGTACACGGTGTCGGAAAATAAGAGTTCATTTATGATATTTCTTTTGTTTATAATTTTTTAACAAACAACGAGCGACGGCTAAAAGTTGCAGATTGTTGTCCAGAGAGATGTCCTTGACAACATATGTCAAGGTCATTGACCTTCGAAGGTGCTCCGTTTTTCTGAACATTTATCCAATTTCTGATTGCACAGACCTGGCAACAGAAACTGTGTGCAGAAACGCTACAATACGGAAACATGCTTTATGTGCTGCCAAAGCTGTTAACACACAGACACAAAAAACGCAACATGGTCACCAAAACCATATCCTACTGAGGACACAGATAGATATGGATTTGATGTGGTGGTTGGCGACAAAATCGCGACATCTGACAACCAAATTGTTTGCTGGGTACCTAGTAGAGACATTGGTTTAAAACTTCTAGGTATGTCTAGGAGATAAATGTCTGGCAGTGAAAGGTTACAATACTTTCATGTAAATAATTTTATATAAATTTGATGTAGGACGACGTGATTACACGGTCACTGGCAATGTTCGACAGCGCACTTTGATCTTCGGCTAAGGAGGAGCTTCCAGTAGCGGGGAGCGCGACGTCAACAACTCCACAGACACCACACTCGACAACAACATTCTCGCAATCCTTATCTCCGTCGCCGCCGCCACCGTCCTACTCCCTGCTGCCTCCAATCCCTCCGCCTTTGCCCTCTCAACCGCCGCCCGGATACACCGTCCAGGATCAGGAACTTTATTTGCTTTTGGCTGCTCATTGGTGGAACCAACCAGAGGCACCGCTTTTTTGTTAGGGGTAAATTTTTAATACCATAGCTTGAATGTAAGAGATTGTTTTTAATAGTTTTTTATTTTCCAAAATCTTTATCGAATTTTTTTCAACTTGAGTATTCCATTTTTAATTTTCCAGGGCAATGTGACAACACAGCCGATATATATATATAATTTATATATATAACTAATATATATATACATATATATA